AATGGGAACAGAGCTGGCATGTCCATCTGTAGGAAGTCAGCTGCTGTGGAATAGCCCAAAAGCAGTGCAAGATTTTTCGGGGAACCACACCATCTCTAGAGTTACTCTAGAGACCACAGCACCTTCAGGCAAAAGATGTAAAGGTAACTTGTATTATTTAAATAATATTCTAAAATCTAAGCACATCTATTACAGATAATTAATGCACATATTATAGATGTACAGAATATATTCCTGTTACAGATAATTAATGTAATTCCTTCATTTTAAGATTAATTTTAACATCAAACATTCTGGCTGGCTGGTACAACTCTCTTCCTTGGCACACACAAAACACCACAGAGTACTTGTACGTGCACACTGGTGGATGGTTTTGAGCATGTCACAGGCTCTCATTATATAACAAAGTCCCTTTGATGTGTCTGTTTGCTGCCTGGAAATCAGTGTGAGACTTACATGTTCCACTGGGAGCTTTGGGTTAATTAAGTTTATCATTTCCACATGGGGCCTGGTATGATCTGTGGCCAAGGCAGGCAGGTAAAATTGGCTTAATGGGAACATTTCACTGTTTTTACACTTACTTCTTTAAAAACCAGGCATTTACAGTGGGGTTGATGAGCAAGTTTGGAAGAAACTCTGGTGTCTAAATAAAACACATACTTTACATGGATAACAGTATGTTTCCAAAGAAACCCCTTATGTATCAATCCTTGTTTAAGAGATAAGCTGGGCCTTAATGCATCATTTCCTGCTACAAAGCTCTGCAAACAGGTAAAAGGCATTATGACATGGCCAGTCCCTTCTCTTTAGCTGTGACCATATATTGTCTCTCTGTAATGACAGCAATGGAAGGAGCAGGAGAGACACACAGATGACACTCCCAGCCCTCCAGGTGTCCAGTGTCTGATAACCCTAACTTTCCTGGGAGTCTTGCATTCTGCCTTCTCCTCTCAGCTCTGTGAAGATAGGTGAGACTGCAGCCAGGGTTCAGAGTTCCCCTGCTCGGTCAAGGAGGGAGCAGAAAGAAGTTCCAGGATGTTAGAACACAGAAATGCCCTAGGACTTGCAGCATTTACAGGCAGAGGACATGCATGCTCTCATCAGGAGCATCATCCAAGTGACAAGACTGCAAGGAGCCCCTGCAGGCTGGAACCTGCTGAATTTCCCATCCTTGAAGCTGGATTTTTCCTTTTGATCAACTCCTGTTATGGTATCTTGGAACAGCCTGGAAGAACAAACTATATAGAACTACATTGAATTGGAATGCAAACCCATCAGAGGTATGAGCTCAACAAGTGTTGAGCTGCCTTGCTGAGGGCAACATCAGAAAAAAACAAGGCAGAAGTGGAAAAAGGAGGGGAATTCATTATCCAGGTTCAGCTCTGTCTACACAGAGAGCGTGGCAGTGTGAAATGTGTCTTGTCTGAACACAGCCTCCACTGGGGTGGGCCAGTTCCAGGTGAGGTGATATCAAGTGGCCATACCCATTGGCCCCCTGGGGCAAGAGGAGGGTGGGGAACTGGAAGCAGGAAGGCTGAGTCAGTCAGTTCTATTCTCCTGCAAGTAGTCAAGCAACATAGGTGATAAGATACATAATCTGTCCTGTTGACACAGTGGTAAATGAATAAAGGAGGTTGCAAAAGGAACAGGAGCTCATTCAAATGAAATTGTGCGTGAAAGTGGGCATAAAATACACTGCAGTAAATAGTAATGAATAAAACTTTGAAGGAATTGTAATTTTACAGATTCTTAAGTAGTGCTGCACTGCCAGAGCTATTTGCTTGGCACTAACAATGTCTTCCAATTTCCTAGTGAATACAAAGAAATATGTAACTTTTTCCAGATAAAACCATCATATGTTAGGAGATAATTGTTTGAAAATTTCCAAATTTTCCTATTCTCTTTTTAAAATAAAATTGATTTTTTGACTCTCCTAAGTTTGAAGAGAGTCTAAGAATTTGTGGGAGTATGTGTGGGTTGGGTCCATCTAAAAAGATCATGCATCATCTAAAGCATTTACCAAATGTATAAGTATTCCATATTGCAGGAGAAGAGAAACTCCATTAAGCTTCATCTTGGGAGCTAAAATAAATTTTCTATCTTCAAAAGCCCTATGTTTCTTCCCAAGTAAATATTCAAATTATAACACCCAGGGTTGCCTGGAAAACAAACTATGTTGCCCAGAAAGCAATCTAAGATACTCCTAAAAATTTTAAAATATCTAGAAGTTAGCTGGATGTCTTCAAGAACAAATCTGTGCAGTTCTTGTGCAGAATGGTGTAATCATGAGGCATGGGAGAAGGGAACTCTAGACCTCTGTCTGGTAGCTGATCCAGCCTCTGATATTCTTCCCATGATTGCCAAGGTCATCCAGCCTTCCTGTACTTCATTTCCCCAGGTGTAAAATAGGGATGATTTTTCCATAACTCACATTAACACTAGGAAGGCTGGGACTGTAGGTTTTCAGTATGCTTGGTCTGAGGACTTGGACTACACACTCAGAATTCAAACTCATTCATTGTTTTCCTTCACTGCAGTCCTGTCTGCCCTGCTAGAAGAGGTGTTAGAAAAGTCACTACCATCAAGATCTTCAACATGAAGGTCTGACACAAGGACAACTGGTGCACCTGGGACAAAGTGCCAGAGAATTGATCTCAGCTGTGAACTTCTTTATAACAAGCAGAGGTTCTAAGCTGAACAATACCAGGAAATGTTTTGTGGATGTTACGTAGCTTGGCTCCACAATCACCCCAAAGTTATACTGACTTCAGTGACTCTGTAAATGCCCCAGAGAAAGACTCATATGTGATTGCTGTCAAGTAATTGCTGTGTGGATGTTGGCTGAAAAAACACAGGGCTTGGTAACTGCAGTGGGACCTTAGACCCTCTTAGCCATAGAGCTGTGGTCAATACAATTATAGAGCAGGCTGTGATGAAGTTAGACTCCAGATATATTTGCACCCTTCTGAAGAACATTCAAAACCACACTCTCATGGAGGTAAAAAATTCCATACTTTGGCTGAGACAAGTTTGAGACCATCACTCTCACATTAGCCCCCCTCCTGAGGAAAAAGGCTGCACAGAGATCCCCTTTTTCTGCTGATGCTCCACACTGTCCTTGCACAGCTGCTTGCATTGAAGGTGAAATGAGCTCTCTGAGAATGCTCTCAGAGAATACTCTCATACTCTCTGAGAATGAGCATGTTTTCCTCCTGCAAAGAGCCACACATGAAGACAAAAGTCAGCCCTGAATGGAAACAAGAAGATGAGGCAGAAGAAATGTAATACATCCCTGGAGAGGAACGTGCGCCTCCAGCACGTGGGTCCAGGTGCTGGCAGTGCTGCACATGGAGATGTAACTCACAGCTCTGGAATCCCTGGCTGGAATTTGCTCTGGGGTATGTCCCTGGCCCAGTGTGCCTGGCTGCTGGCAGCCACAGGGGGAGCAGTGCCTTCTGGCAACTGAGAGCACAGAGATTGTGCTTCAGGCAACACAGCCCTCACCACAGTGCCCCCCAGAGTAACAGCAGCTAAGGGTAGGTAGGATGGGATGTTCTCCAAAATATCTGGAGCAAGTAAGCCTCTTAAATCAGGCCTGCCCAGTGCTCTGGTTATAATCTGGAACTAATAGAAAGGTGTCTGTATACCAGAGTAGGCAGTAATAATTAATTACTGTAGTGTATGATTGCTTGGGACAAATTAAGCTCCTAATACTTCCTCTGCATTTTTTATTTTCTTATCTCAATCATCTCGTAATGTGAAGGGGTGTAGGCCAACACACAAAGTGTCTAGCAGCTGCAATTTACCTGCCCTTTCAGCATTCATGTATTTTCCTTAATAGTAAAGAGTTGATAGCTGTTTTCCCACCCTACTTGGCACTGAAATGGCTGTGTCTTCCAGCCTCACACGTGTTAGTGTTGATGTCCCTTTTTACTGGAATATTGCTTTGCTGTGGGCACCAGTCCAAACAAATTTATCCTGCACATCCTGCTAACAACCAGTGTTTCCACAGGGCATGCAGAGACTACAGCTTCAGTAGGAAGAATCTGCTTCTTTTTTGCCATTTTTACTTGTAAAATTGCACCTGAATCCTTCTCAAACACAGTTTCTCTGACTAATAGCATCATCCCACATTCAAGTCATAGCTACACGTCTTAAAAATATTTTAGCAATGACATATTAACAGAAGGAAACAGGCTATATTTTCTCAAGAGACAGAACCGCTAATTTAATGTGGTAGAAATTATCAGGGGAATTGTTTTCATGAAATTTAAAGTTTCTTCAAGCAGACCACTAGCAGATGACCATACTTCTGTGCTCAGATCCACAAGAAAAGTGTAAGCTGTATTTTACAATTCTTCCAGCTGAATTTTCAAAAATTGGCAATGATTAGTTGTCATTCTTTAGCTTTACATTGTCTAAAATCTTTATTCTTGGAGTTTTGGGTGGGGTTTTTATGTTGTGGATTTTTGATCATTTGTTTGGGTTTTTTAATACAGATGAAGTTTAATAAACATAAAAATATTAGTGTCCTCCATAGAGAAAGATAAAAGAATACAGAATTTCAAAAACCCATGCAGGCAGTGTAGAATATGAGCTCTTTATGTATTGAATAAGGGCCTATGTACAACTTGTGTAACTCATTCTATCCCCATGTCTCTGTTTACCTACCAGAAAGTTTGTACAATGTGCTTCAGACTGTAGGAGAAAAGAGGGAATTTGTGTTTTCAAAGTGTTTTGTGATCCTTTGGTGAGATTAAAACCTGATGATTTGCACACTTATTGAAAATTAGAAAATCTTGTTGCCCTTCATTACTACAATGATTAAAATCTAACAATAAAGTATCTCACTATCAAAAGCTGAACTCTGCAAGGCTGCAGAAGTATTTTTAAAACTACTTTATAAACAACACTTTACCTGGATATTGTGAAAAATCATTCTTTGACAAAGGTTTAGCACTTATAGAGAAATCTAGTAAAACACAGCGAGAGAGAGGAAATACTTTTAATGTATTTTGAAGTTTATTTTTCTTAATAATTTTTAGGTCAGAAGCATTGTGCATAACCAAGAAGTGCATGGCACTGAATTTGTCACTGTGGCTAGCACAGCTCAAAGAGGGCCAGGGAGATTACTGGTACACTTCTGCACAGAGTATGTGATATCCACTGGTAACACATCCACTGGGTAGCAATCTGCGGGCACATAACATCTGTAACATCTTCAAATGTGTTAGAGTAGTCTGATGTGTATATACAAAATCAGAAAAATATATTCCTTCTTGCTTATATACACTATATAACATGAGAATAAAATCTGGACTCGTTTGCAGTAACTTAAAAGAGACCACAATTTTATGATTCAGAGCTTTAGAAACACCTCCTCAGCATCGTTTGTCTTGGACCGCTGTGACAAAAAATTTGCAGAAAGAAAGCAAGATTTCTGGACAGTATTCCTCAGCCACCTTGCTCTGGTCAATGTAATCTACATCTTCAACACAGTCTTGAGGACTGTGTTCTAGCCTTTTTTCAGTCACAGAGACATCTGCTGGAGTCTGAACAGCTTCTTTTGCATGATGCATTGTGTTCTCTTTGGCAAGACCCACCGCTGTTAGCAGGCTTGAGTGAGTCAACCTGAGGTGAGCACTTTGTGGGCCTTTCCTACACAATCTAGATTTTAGTACACTTTTGGGGTCTTGACAAATATGCTTCTGCTTCTTTAGAGATCGGGAGACTTGTTTCCAGTAGGATTTCTGGTTTGCTGCATACTGTGCACAGCTAGAAGGGTTTCCAGAGAATTCACACCAGAACTCTGTGTCACCGTGCTTGCACTGTACGTGCACAGTGACAGCATTTGTGTCCATCACTGACCAGGTGCACTCAGCATTTTCTTTGGTTTCAAACTTGCCTTTTGGAGATGATTTTCCTCCTTTTGACTTCTGCCCTTTTTCATTTCCTTGGTTAGATTCCTTTTGGTTTTTTCTGCCATGTTCTATGCCTTGTCTTCCCTTTTTTCTTTCCTTCTGTCTTTCACAGTTGGCTAGTAGCATCTGAGATACCAGCATCAACACACAAAGGAGTCCAAAGCTTTTGATTCTCATGGTCTCTGTCCTGCTTGTTATCTGCCTTCAAAGCAAACAAACAAACAGACAAACAAAACAATAAAAAACATTTTCAAGTAATGCTGTAATACATTTGACAGTTGAAGTTCTTCAGACATGGCATTGCACTGCTCTTTGGTACCTATTAAAGTGATGTTATCAGCAAAATGATCTGTTCTTTGTGTAAATAGTACCTGTTTTAAATACCATTATGAATTGTCCTTGTAAGAGGTTGTGGAGTAACTTTCAGTTACTTCTTTATCTATGCAATGGGGAACAGAAGAATCACTGCCAGGACATGCTACTGCCCAGTGACTGAGGTACCTTAATTAAAATTTCTTCTGCAGTCAGAGAAGGAATTTGAACTTTGGATTTGTCAATCTCAGATGGATATCTTAAATGATAACAATAAAAGAGTTGTTCCCAAAATCTCTCATTCTGTAAAATGATTCATAGGCATTTTTGACTCCAACCTCTGGCTATTCTTCAAAAATGTGCCAGACAAAAAGGAAACTCTTTGGTTTACATTGAGGAAAACTATTTTCTAAGCACCCTGAAAATTCACTGGTTATTCCAGTATTTCAAATTTGTTCTGAAAAAAAAATGGTTGTCTTTGTTGGTTATGGTTGTCTTTCCAGAGAGCAAAAAGTAACTATTGATGCATTCTTTTCCACCTTGACTGCTAAACAAACAGAACAAGCTTTTTTGCTGTTGAAGATAACCTGCAGTGTACTGGGCTGTGTTTAAAGCCACCAAATTCCAGGGATAAACGTGCAACTTCAGTTTTGAAATGTAGCTAGTTAGCAAATTATTATCAAGGTGATCCCTGCATCTGCACAGAACATGCTTATTTCTGTAGGTGTTTGCCTTTATAAAGCAGCTTTCAGGATCAAAGAGGGGTTTGAACCTGGAATTTTGATGATTAAATCCCTAAATGTATTTTTAGATGTTTCCATCATAGTTATCTCTGTAGCCAAGTTTTTGTGTTAGAAAGCAGAAATCAATGTGCAGCCAGGCTAATAAGAATCTATTTCAACATTCAGTTATCTGTAAATATCTTTAGTTACATGAATTATATGAGCAGGCTCTACTTAGTTCTTACTCGACTTGCTTCATGCCTTGTACTACACACAAATTTTCATTCCATAAACCCCTCTTTAGGGAACCTCATATGGCATTCACAGTTCTGTTGCAAAGACAGCAACTAACAACATTAAAATGGATAACCATTTCACAGTAACCTTTTGCTGCAAGTGGAACAGTGCAAAAGTAAAATAACTAAAATACATACCTTGCAGAGGGCTCAGAGACACCCAAACACAGCTCCTGACGCAATTCCCCTCTTTCGGAAGAGTCGGAGCTGGTTGGAAGAGCAGCGTGGGGTTTATAAAGGCAGGGACACACCTGTGGTCTCCAGAAAGACTTACAACACAATAGGGTACTTCAGGGCCAGGCTCACCTACCTCTGACACACCTCCCTGGAAAAGTGCCAGTTCTCATTCCTGGTACAAAAAAAAAGCGCCGGCTGTGGGGGTGGCAAGGTGAGGTTGTGTAATTCAAGTGTTCCTTTAGCCAAGTCCTTCCCTCCTCCTGAACAATGACAAGAATTTTATCAGATCTCATCTAAAATATTTTACCAGCTATTGAGGGATGTATCCTGCAATACCCTCAACAGGTTGCACTATCATTGCGTTTAGCAGAATTTGATCATGACAATGAAAACAATTCCACAAAGCATTTCAAAGTTACCTTTTGAACTTTTTGTTACCCTGTGTCACAAAAAATGGTATTGAACAACTTCAAACACCCAAAATAAGTAACTATATGAGTAGTAAAGTATACCAGTCCAGAGGAGGGACGCTAAGTTTATCAGAGGGCGCCTCTCCTGTGAATACAGGCTGAGGCAGGAGAGTCAGCCTGGAGAAGAGAAGGCTCCAGTGAGATTTTCCAGCAGCCTTTCAGTACCTAAATGGGGTCTACAAGAGAGTCAGAAAGGGACTTTGTACAAAGCATGTAAAGATAGCACAAGGGGTGATGGCTTTAAACTGAAAGAGATTAGGATTAGATAAAATATGAGGAAGGAATTTTTTTATGACAAGGGTGGCAAGACACTGGATAGGTTACCCTGAGAGGCTGTGAACTTCCCATCCCTGGAAATGTTCAAGGTCAAGCTGGACGGGGTTCTGAGCAAACTGGTCTAGTGGCAGGTTCCCTGTTCGTGGCAGGGGGTTGGAGCTAGATGGTATTTAAAGGTCCCTTCCAATCCAAACCATTCTAGCATTCTCTGATTATATGACTGCATTTAGGGCAGTGTTCCTAATCATGAAACTCAGAAACAAATTCAAGCTCCTGCAGAAGTAGTGACAGAGAGGTCTCAGGTTCAGCTTCACAACAATGACCTATGTTCCCCCCTCTCTGACAACTTTTGTGTTTATAAAGATCTGGTTTACATCATGAGTGCTCATTATGGGACCAGGTTGAAAGAAAAAGCATTAGATAAATCTAAAAACACACTCAGAGCTGGGGATAGCCATCTTTGTAGCTTGGTTGCTTCAGGTTTTACTGAAGAAATGTGAGGCACTTGTTGTATATGTTTGGGGACTACCAGAATAAAAGAAGGAGGCAAGAAGAGAGAAAAGCAGAAACTGGTGTAAGATATAAATAAGTATTCCTCTTTGGTTCTTTCCCATCCAATGCAAATGGAATGATATGAAAGGACAGAGCTATAGGCAAGGCATTGTCTAGACTGGTTTGGCAATGAGGAGACTGTTAATTTCTTTTAAAAAATCACAAACAAAAAGTAGGAAGAAAAAATGCAATTCTGCAACACGCACAGGACGGAAATGTAGAGAATTAAATGCAAAGGGTTTGATCTGTATATCAAGACTATCTCCCAAGATATGTCTGCTTTTTGACTGAGTTCAGCCATCAGATGTGCCCTCTGCACTTTTGATTGGCATGAGTATGTATGTATGTTTGCAAGAGCCCACTAAATGTGAAAGGTTTGTAGTTAACACTGGCAAGGGGTGATGAATTAGGGGCAGTGATGACTCAGGGATCAGAAAATATATAATAATGTGTGGTGGAATGGAATCAGAGAAGTAGGAAAATATAAGAGGTAAGTAAGGGAGACACTGTCATGCTCAGGAATCCTAAACTAAAAAAATCCTAAACTATACCAGATAGTAGGCAAAGTACCATCTGAAGCATTTAGTACTTAGCTGGGATCCTCAAAACTGTGCAGCTGCATTAGTGTGGCTGTGTACTGTAGCTAATGAACCTCTCATGAGGGCTAATTACTCTGGGGACAGCATAAAGCCAAAGGGCAATGCTAACCTCATGTTCTGGTACTAATTTAGGTTCAGTTTTAACATGCCCGATTGCTTGGGTAAACATACTATAAATTGAAATATTTTGAGAGTTGAGGGTATAGGTTCAGCTATAAGACTTTTGGGCAAGCTGCTTTTTGGCAAGGAACTGCCAAAGACAAAAGCTTCACTAATACAAAACTTCACCAAACCACCTTCCTACTGCAGCTGAACTATGTTTCCAGATGGGTAGGAGAGGATGGTTACAAGTATGTAAGGAACCATGGGAAATGTGACCAAGCACATGATTTACAGGAAGGAGCTATGTGTTCCTGTTCCAGCTCTGTCACAGACTTTCTCAGAGATATTCACTGGGAAATGACAGATGTGCTTCACCTGGAAAGGGAATTTTCTTGTAGATGATGTTGCAATGATTTTTTTTGTCTGCATTTACAAAATGCCATTTACTGGTGAAACTAGCCACAAGGTATTGAAAACATTTAAACACTCCACCATTCATCATTTCCAAAATTACATGTTTTGATGGCTTTGACAAGCAAAATCAGTTTTAATGTCAATGTCAGTTCAGCTGCTCTACTGTTAATAGGACATATCAACTTAGTCCTACTACTTCATAAAAATGGGGAAAGACAGGCAGAGAAAAGGCTGCAAAAGTGGAAATCTGCTTCCTGCTCCTTTGGTATTCCCTCCCCAGGGTCATGGCAAGCTGGACTTGTCAGCTCCTCCTGTCTGTGGCGTGCAGAAGCTTCTGTAGAGAGTTCTGCAGTCAAGTGTTTGTTGACATGGGCACTATCATCTTTGAGATAATCTGTCTTGAGACAGCTGGAGCTTTTATCTGACCTGCTTAGATGATTTCAAAATCTCAGTAAACCAAGATTGACATATTTAGGTGCACAAAAAACAGCCTCAGCCTATGGAGGTTGGTCTGGACATCAGGGGGTTTTATTGCTATGCCCTCAGAATATCTTTTTGGTTTGTTTTGTTATTATTAGATATGAACTGACGTTTTGTGGATGTCTTCTACCTACCGGGGCATATATTCATCCTGTACCTCAGAAATCATTCTGGGAGCCGTACTATCAGGTGATCAGAACAGTCATTTCCTTCAATTTTCATTTTGAAAAGAAAACATACAAAATTAAAGTATGGGCTCAATTTCTTAGATGCTTAATTAGCACCTAATTGCCAACAAAAAAAGTTGGTGCAAAAACTTGTTTATAATATGATTTCCAAAAAAGCATATTTTCCTTTCTGTCATGCACACTTTAAAATACACTTTAGTGTATTTTAGAGCCCTTGCTGAGCTGAAATGCTGTTTGCTTGTAAACTGCATGCATAGTTTTGCCACAGAACAAGCAATGAAGAAAATTCATCAAAAGTCAATTTGATCCATGCAACAAATGGTAAACCTGAACAGTTAATTTGGCAAGGTAAAACTTATAGAGAGCTGTTTAGTTATTCAAATAAAAAAGCATAGGAAAAAAAATTAGCAACACTAGCAAATAAAGGTAGTCATTGAGAATTACAACATGGATACCCAAATCCCAGTGTAAATTCTGTATGGAAAATCTCAGTCCAGAAATACTTCTGTGCCTTTTGACTGAAACTTCAGACAGGTAGTTAGCATCTTTAGATTTCATTAGAACTGTTATAATTAAATCAATAATTACATTCTGCTGTTTAAGCAAAGAGAAGAAGAGGTTTTATCCTTATTCCTAGCTATGATTCATTGGGGTGGACGAAGCATAGTATTTCCTCAGTTAGTTCTTATTGCTGCTTAAATATTATCCACATATATGTATTTTTTATATAGGAAATTATTATTGTTGATGCTATTAGTAGCAGTGGTGCATTATTTGCAAACTGTAGTTTCTTGTGGTGTCACCTCTGTGACACCAAGAAGCTCCTGTTAGTTCATAGCTTTTTCCTCACAGAATAAAAACTAAATTTTATATACAAACAGTAAAATTTTAATTTAATTTATGAATAGTAAATGGTATTTGACGACCTGAAATAGGGCTCTATAGAATATCAGCTGTTTGTCAGTCATACATGTGGCAGCAAGATATTTTTCTCTATGCAAAAGCTAAGGTAGGGTGAATTAAAACAGATCCAGCATCAGTGATGTGAAGAGCTACTTTCATTTCAAATTAACGTCCATCAGTACTGTCCTGCAGCATTCAAGCAATTTTTGTTGTATAGGCACACACATCATCAATACGGAATTCTTACTGTAATTAAAACAAAGTAGCCTGTTCTTGTGTTCTTGTGCTGTTCGCTGACAAAATACAATGAGGCACAGGCTGTAGGTGTACATCACTTTGTGAGGAATACCTGCTGAAAGACTCGGAGTGCTAATGAACAGATGTGGCAGTCACACCTCTACCTCCCCGTGCAACCACCTTTTACAGTGGCTGTGGGCACGGCATTCCCATCCCTGGGTAAACAAGCTCCAGGCAAGGAACTGTAACTTCATTTCCTTCTTGATTGTGTGAGTTGAGGACTAACAAAAGATAGTAAACTAATAGCCCTGAGTGCTGCAGCCCTTTCACACAACAACAAAATACTTGTCTCACAGGCACTGACACCATCACCAGCTCGTCTGCATCTCACTGCCTGTGCCCAACACTTCAGAAAAATATTCCACAGCAAACTGGCCTTTCTCTTGAAGTGGCCGTTTAATTCAAAATGTAGCTATGGTTTCAGTGCACTGAGCTCTGCTAATTAATTATTCTACATGGTGGCACAATTATTTGAAAGAAGTGGAAGCAAACTCATTACTCATCAGTTAACAATTTTCAGTTACTTCTGACCTGGGATTAAAATCATATTAGTTAAATAAATACGAAAAAAGGCATCATTGAGATGCCTCTCTTCATTGAGACTTTCACAAGCTGGCTAAAACTGACAACTGTATTTGGCAGAACAGCATCCAAATGAAAACTAATATGATGAAACTCAAATAAAAAGAAACAAACACTAGTTAATTCAAACAAGTATTAACTGTAAGTTAATCATAGAACAACAGAAATCAAATGACTGCTTTATATTTTAAGCTAATAAAAAAAGAGCAATTTACAAGATTAAATAGTAAGGTTATTTTATAGCAAGCTACAGTTCATGCAGAG